CAGAGCAAACTACCCCATTTTAGGAGTTCGGAACGGAACAATCATTGGGTGCTGACTAGCAACTAGGATGGGATGAAATCCCGGTTTGTCGGAATCAAACGTTCACATAAAGGGAAATAGGGTAACTCAGAGTACTTATACATCACTCATCTGAACATAAGAGATTATCGAAACTACTCACTTCGAATATCGAGCGAGATCGTCTCGAGGGTTGCCAACACTCAAGAGGAAACGTTTTAAATACTTAGTTCCGTCAATGACCCAACTATATGGGACTCTGCGGCTTATTTCCCCTCGTACGTTCGATCATAAGCCCAACGTGTCATTCACGCACTGAAACTCATTCGGATCAACATTTACAGTTGGCAGTTCGCTCACTTAGTACTGGAGACCATATTCGAAGTGGTCTCTTGTTTTAGGGTGAGATTCGTATACTGAGTGTAAGATTCCCAATCCTTTCGGAATTCCATTGAACTTCGAGGTTAGGTATCTTGATCAACGCATCCTGGAAGTTGTATGAGTACTGACTATAATTTTGCGAGATAAACTCAAACTCAATGGACACTCATCAACTTGTGTTATTTTTGATATCATGAAAGAACTGTCTCAAGAACTCAGGGCATCAAAAGCGACCACAAGAACCATCTTACAGCACTGTCATGAAACCTGATCACTCCAGTTTGGAAATGCGAAATACCTTTAAAAAGCTGGTCAACTCCGTCTTGGGCGTCTCACAGAAGATGCGACGGACCGACACCTAGTACCAATTACTAGACACCGATCAGGTACACCCGATAGAGGTACTGGAGCCGAATCACCGAATCTAGTTCCTCAGCATTCAAATCTCAATTCGAGAATGGTACGCTGATACTGCTCAAAACTTTAACTGCACAACCTTTGGTCAAACACATGACACTAACGTCCTTCCCAATGATTCTTTTGATAATCGTCTTATCAATCCGCCTACTCGCTCTCTCCCTCTCTCTGCCCCACCCTAGGCTTCCGCTCCTCTGGCGACATCCTGGCTAACTGGGGAGACATGCGTTAGGGGGCGAGAAGGACCAAGTGGTAAGAGCGCGAATTTACTGACTGGAAGGTCTGTGGTTCAAACCCGACCTCTGCCTCTCGTCTTCCCCTGTCTAGGCCTGGGCGACCTGGCAGTATCCCAGCCCTCTTGCCTCCTTCGTGTGGCATGGCAGCTAGGCACCGAAAGGATGCTACAGCTGAACTATTCTATTTTTTTATTCAGCCATTATCCCTGTCTTTCGAAGGAACCTCCGTTTTTTTCACTGAAAAGTTTACGAAGCCGTTCTCTGATGAACCAATTTACCCCCCATTTCTCAAACCCTTGAAACAATCGCTACCAAACAGTCTAACCATGTGTGTCTGTGGGTGACCACGAAAAACACATTGTGTAAGTATTCGTGGATGCACTTTGTCCCACCACCCGCCCGCAGAATACGTTGCCGGATGTAATAACTGAAGTGTAATACCACGAAGGGAGCTGACCATCCCCGAGCCCGAGCTTCTGCTGATGTCATGCACTTTGTCCCACCACCCGCCCGCAGAATACGTTGCCGGGTGTAATAACTGAAGTGTAATACCACGAAGGGAGCTGACCATCCCCGAGCCCGAGCTCTGCTGATGTCCAACCCCACTCACTGGTGCTTTTCATTCATGCTGAGAAAATAAATTTCCCCATCCAGTCATTTGCACTGACCCCAACAACCACAGGCCCATTACCATTACCTTCATTTTGTCGACACCTGTTAAATGGATTTCGATGAAAAAACTCCTCTACAAACTTGAAGAACACATTTGCTTGGGTGGGCACTAGCTTGGGTTCAGAAACCACCATTAGATAGGTGAAATCACGGTTTAGGTGCCATTCATTTGATCTTCCTCCTTGGACTCTTGACGAAACGCAAGTAGCTGTCCTAGATATATAGAGGAAGTACACCGCACCTCCTTCGGTGAACGATCTATTATCGCACGTCACCTCCTGTATCCACGACGGGGCGAGACGGCTCAGTGGTTAGAGCCCGAACTTACTGCCGAATGATCCGGTGAACGATCTATTATCGCACGTCACCTCCTGTATCCACGACGGGGCGAGACGGCTCAGTGGTTAGAGCCCGAACTTACTGACCGAATGATCCGTGGTTCGAACCCGATCTCTACATCCTAACTAGTTTGGCTTAGGCTTTGGCAACCTGGCAGTTTCCCAGCCCTCGTGCTTCCTTCGGGTGGTATAACAGCTAGGTAGATGGCGGTAACATCCAGTGTCATTCGTTAAACCAATCCTAATGTTTCGCTTCACTTCGGTTGTGGGACAATGGGAAATAATTCATTTCTACATTGAACAACGATCTCAATATCAATCCGACACAGCGTTTTCACTCCCCGCCAAACGTCTCCAATTCCCTTCGTCAACAGTTGAGAAGTCCAGTTAATCTCGGTTGGTCCGTTTATACCCGCCTTAAGGTTTGAGTTATTTTCTGTTTCGGTAACTAGGGTCTTCCAGTCCTCTAAAACTCGCATCTGCCCAATGGGAAAGGTATCTGTCACTCTGAATTTCAGATATGTTACCGTTGACAGCGTAGATCTACCTTTAGTCAGATTGGGCCAAACAAAGGTCATCTTGCTGGTGGTCAGTGGTAGGAGTTGTCCATGGATTTGGCCATTATTGGAATGAGCTGTTCAAACGAAAGCGAGGCAAATAGGGTTGGAATCAAATCACCAGCTGAGATAGCATCCCCAGGAGTTCAGTTGATAAAGTACGCATCTAACAAGCGGTAGATTGCTCATATTTGTCTTTTCATCGATGGTACACGTGTTTGGAACCCTTACTTCAAGATCCCGACGGGCATCTCAGTAACTGCCAGTTTGCTTTGAACCAGTGATATTTCTGTTGAACCCCTCGCCCAAGAAATGTGGTGGAGTTATTTCGAAGGCTTCTGCGTTTAGAAGGGTCGTACAGGCCCTTCGTAATCTGAAGGTATACTGTATTTTCAAGGGGCGCTTTTTGAATGTCAAGGGGATTATTCGACCACATTTCGTAAAACCCCAGATTCTCGAGGTCATAATAAGTCAACTCAGCGTAATTTTTAGTTTCGAAAAGTATGCAGATGTCCCAATTCTCGGATTTGACCGGATAAAGCAGTGGGCTTAGATTCGAAAATATTAGCAACCAAATAGCGAGTCAGGTGATGAACGACTGCATCTATCATCCATTAACGGTAAAAAACGGGCCTCAGAGTCGATGGGAAAATCGGCACAACGGTACATGCACAACAACAGTTTTTTTTAACAAAATCGTACTTGATTGTAAGTTATACTTAGAATGTGGTTTACAGCACAACGTGTCGAATTTACGGATAGCCATCACTCAGTTATGGACTGTGAAAAACAACAGAATGTTTGACTATCCAAATGTACTCGAATTTATGTACTCGAAGTTATGATAAACGCTGGCAAAGTAGCGAATGTTAACTTCAAAGTAAACGATATGCAGAGTTCCGTAAGATAAAAAATCGAACACAGGAGCATCACCCTACCTCATGGTTGCTTTATGTACTGCACACTGGCGTAAAAAGTGACGCGGCAAACTTGAAGCCTTAGATAAAAACGTGTGGAGTTTTCCAGCCATTTTGGAACCTGCCGGTGGACTACCGAACAGATTCGCTGAGAAACCATCTAATTACTGGGAAAGTTTGGAAATACCGCTTCGTTAAACGGATCATGCCGTCCCAGAGATCACTAGATTCTCTGGAAGACGTGTCATGATTTCAACGCGATGGGTAACTAATGTGAGCAATCGACAGTTTCATCAAGATACTAACAGACAAATCGACTAGACTAGCCATCGTTAACACATCCTGTGACCATCAATCGTTCAGCTGTAGCGCCCTTTCGGTGCCTAGCTGCCATGCCACCCGAAGGTTGCACGGGGGTTGTGATACTACCAGGTTGCCCAAGCCTAGACAGGGGAAGTCGAGATGCAGAGGTCAGATTCGAACCACGGACATTCCGGTCAGTAAATTCGCGCTCTAACCACTTGAGTCATCTCGCCCCCTTGTGACCATCAGTTCAGTCCGCAATCAGATTTGTAATAAAAACGAAGCGGCTTGAAATATATTGAGGCAAGTTTCTCCATTTCAGTTACGTTCCCTTTGAATAAATAGAGTACCAACTATGCACGGTCGTGCACAGAAACAGTGTCCCTCTCCTTCCGAATTCCTTACGGATACCGGGTACAATGAGAAACCTATCCCGCACAAAATTGGTCAAAAGTTAGGGCCGCAAGCCAGTCCGGCATCAAGCCGAGCTTTGATTGGTCGAAAGCCTGGACCCGACAGTCAACCACGGCCCAGTATTGGCCGAATACCGTGTGCCAATGGCGCACCCAGAGGGCTTCAGAAATTCCAGGTTGTCTCTGGTTACACCGTATACGACGCGCTGTACAAGTGTTCTGGGCTCGGCTTTAGGCGTTATGCACCTTTGGGAGTTGTTTTGACCGGAACCTTAGCTTGGGAAGTTCAAACCGAGAACTAAACTAAGGAAAATATTGTTATTACATACAGATAACCCTTAAACCCTCAAGATGACAGTGTTTTCATTAAGATAAAACTCTTCTGCCTGGTGTTGAGTTGTGTTAGTGATCCGTTCTCCCAGAAAGTCGACTGAATCCTGGTGACTGCGAGCCATCAAAGTCAGACGTTAGTAGGGGCATTTAGCCCCTATGTAATCAGCCTACAGCTGAAGAGCGCGAATGGGATTACATGGAAGTCATGATTAACCTGGCGGTGTGCATTAGTAAATTGTCTCGAACAAAAGCTCCTTCATCCGGGTCACATGTACCCTCTGACCTGGGCAGTCTGAGAGTACCCCGGTCGAGCAATACAGAGCTGTGTTCACTTCAACACGATTCCCACCGTCAGATGACTAAGATGCCGGTATTTGTTAAGAAACATAATCATACTAGCTAATCGTAGACAAACCTTTTTATATGTAACAGTTCCTTCTTCCGTGACGCGTCGGTGACCGATTTTCTTTCCTCGCCGTGATCCATTGTCACGTAGGAGAGGTCGAGAACCGCTTGGAATGGATAGCTTTGTTGGAGAATTGAGTGAATTGAACTGTGCAGGAGGACCAGGGCCAGAATTTCCGGTCGAACCTGAAACAGAGTAAGCTCGTGATCTAAATTTGTTTCACACTTAGACACGTGAGAAAACTACCCTTGATAAAAGTTTCGTTAGCGATAGCCACATAAACCCTAGACGCGATTGCTGAATGACGTGGGCTTTCATCATTATCATCATCATCGACAGCATGACATCAGTGTTCAACATCGATGTCGCACTGCTGTACAAACATGATTTATTTGAAAGCCAGTGAAAACAAGCCAACTGGAGTTCCGACAAATACACTGATTTGCATATCAGTTTCGTCCTGACAGCAGGCTCACCTGGAACCCAGCTGAATCTCTCATTTATCATGTTCTTTGGCGTATTGCGCCTAATCAAACTAGTTTTGGAAATAAGATACTCAGAATAGAAAATATGCAGTGTACATCTGGAATGGACCGCGGATCTCGGGTCCCAAATAGATGAGCGCAATGTACAACTTCGTGTATTCAAAGCCCAGACACTATGGTCCAGTCATGTGAGAGAACTAGTGGTACATGATCGTCGGTGCTTAAAGATTGGAACTAGAATAGATTGAGCCGATCGGATCTCTAATGAAGCGGTTCGACAACACTGCTACGATATGTCCAATTTTGCCTACTAAAGTCGATCAGGCACACTGCAAAGCTGATAACAAATTTGAGAAAATCCTCCCACGCGATCGGTTACAATGTTGATTTTGCCGCCGAAGAATTGAAGACTCGGCAGTCCATTAGCTTAGCTTCTAAACTGTATACTGTGTCCAATTTAGGAAAGAAGATTGAGTCTGCGCAGAGCTGCAAATACAATAACATATCACACACGTGGAACCATCTTATCACATCACACGAGTCAGCAACAATTACGCTGACAGATGTTACTACTTCTCTAGAAGGTTGCTGAAAACTCCTAAAAACATAAACGAGAGATTCAGCTATGTTCCAGGCGAGTCTCCCGTCAAGACGAAATCGGCATGCAAATGAGTGTACTTCGCTGTTACTAATTCTATCCATCCACTTATCAATTATGGACGGAAACCATAGAGTTGACATCGGTGTTTCACCACCGTACAACTATAATTGGGCAAGAAACTTGTTGTAGTAGATGAAGTTAAGCGTACGTGAATAGGCGTCCCTTGGTTACAGCATTTGCCATATACTGCTGGTACTGATGCTGCTGCCCAGGTAGACAGGTTTGTCCATTACCTCAATCACCTCACCCGCAAACATGAGGTTAGGGTTCGAGCCTACCCAGTATTGCAGTGGCACTTTGAACTGTATAGGTGTGAGGTACATACAAAACCGTGAAGCAGAATTATTTAGATAATTTAGGATAGCTTGCACGGCGCAAGACCCAAGAAGAGCTGTGTACTCTACCTACGTACTCTATGTCTGTGGGTGGACGCTCCAGAATCACTTCGACCCCACAGGAATCAGAGACTGATAATGAGTCTTATTTAATTGCATCGGTGATGAAGTTGAGGAGGAAAGGTGAAAGACAGCCTCGCCTGGCACCACTTGATGTGGTGAACTCAGGTGTGAGCTTCTCGTAGACATTCACACGTCGCGAGAGCTGGCATAAGCGCCTTAAGGAGGATTAAGAACTTATGGGGAACACCTTCGCTTCCTGAATCTGTCGAAGGTTGCATCATCTTGCAGGACGGAGCCCAGATTGTTTTTCACGGATCTGTCTCCCCCCTGTGTGTTTGAAGGGAGCACCTTCAAAGCTACAACTACCAGGCTGATACCGCGGTGATTTTCACGCGCTCTTTTTTTGAAGATAGGAATAACTGTCGACATGCCACATTCTGCAAGAACTTTCTCTTCGCTACATATCGCACCGATCAGCTTTGTGAGATGGGTCATCAGGGATTCTCCGCCTTCATTGAACACAGCTGGATACAGACCGTCCGGTCCTGGTGACTTCTCAATTTCAGTACGGATATCTCGCACATTATTTCTTCTTCCAACACGTGGTTAAGGTTTGCACTCCCCTCACGCGTATGCATCATCTCTGGGGGGGAGGGGCAGAATGCCAGCTAAAATGCTCTAATTGTTCGACCCATCTTTCCAGTCGACGATTTTGCAAGTGACTCAGTGAGCCGACTTTTTCACTAACCGTTGCTTTCCTAGGGCCAGTCAATCGTATCAGTTGGTATCGGGTACGGCTGTATTCGGTAGCAAAAGTCTTGTCCACATCCCGAGCTTTCGATGTCTACCAGAGCACTGGGTCGTTCCTTAGGCTTCTCACTATTTGGCATTTGAGGGATTTGCTTCATCCACGTGCTCATTACCAGTATATTATTGGTTCACTGTAGAGAGTTATTGAGATATCGCAGATCGATACTGACCGGAAGTTTTGTGGTTCGAATCGGACCTCTGCTTCTCGACTTCCCCCGTCTAAGCTTGGGCAACCTGTCGGCATCCAAGCCCTCGTGCAGTTGGGCACCCCTTGTGGCATCAAAGCCATGTCACTGGGTACCGAAGGATGCACGAATCAGACTACAATTCATCATCATCTTCATCATCATATCATTCATCATCATCATCATCATCAAGGACAGCAACACCAGTGTTGCCACTGATGCTTCACTGCCGTAAAACTACAATTCGGGCTGTATTGGTGTACAACTGCGAAACTTAGCCACTTCATGTGGAAAATCTAAGACATCTTCAGGTTAGTGACCACCGATCGTCGTCGTCATTTAATTGAAAAACCCCTTCGTTACCTAGTTACTGTGTCAGCCGAAGTGAGCACGAGAGCTCAGGCCTAGACAGGAGCAGTCGAGATGCTGATGTTGAGTTCGAACCACGAACCATTAACATTACGGTCAGTAGTTTCATATTATAACCACTACATCGAATTCGACCACCAACACCTCACAATGACCAGCAGAATCGGCTGAAATAGGTGAATTCGGAACGATGTAACAGGAAAATGGCTTTTCGGTTCATTTGAAAGCCGTGTTTTAAAAAAAAGGAATAAAAGTGGAGGGGAAAGGGACTTAGTGCTAGCCCAACAATTATTCCGGGTTGTCTACACCTCCAAACACTCATTCAGAAAATCTGGAGGGAGAGTGAGAATAAGGACGCAACCGACGTCGATTATCAGCCATAACTTGCGGCATATCCAAGAAGGATTAGTAGGGATTCTCTGTCTAGGCTTGGGCAACCTGGCAGTATGTCATCCCCCGTGCTTACTTTGAGTGGCATGGCAGCTAGGCACAGAAAGGATCTTATAGCTAAACGATTTTGATTTTTTATTAGGGATCACGCGGTTCCCATCCCAGAAGATGAGTCGCACCGGCAGTACCCAGACTTTTCGTAATCCCTTCCATATCCCTCTATCAGGTCAAGGGTTGGCCACCTCTCCACTTCCGCCACTCTAAATTGGGCACAAAAAACAGTACTTTCTCGGCAAACGATGGTTCAGCATACGCAATACACGGCCTAACCAACATAGCTTCTGGTGATGGACACATTCTTCAACGAAAGCCCCCGTTGCACAACCGAACACTCGGTTTCTAATTTTTTCGTTGTGGATCCACCGACATCTACCTACCCGAGCTACGTTTGTAAGACAACGGTTGTCGAACACCTGAAGATGCCACAGTTACGTTGCTCGAAAAGGACTATTCTCACAGCCATAGGACGAAACTTTCTAGCCTATCGTCTTTCTTGGGGGAGGGCAACAAGTGTGGATATGCTGGTTGCTTGAGATAAGCAGCTTACTGCCTTCCTGCAAGCAACTCCTCGTAACATGACATTCGTTCGATAAGACTACATTTTGTGCCCTACGCAATGTGATGCGCCACCATTCTGCTGATCGTGATCACTCGGTGATTTGGTACAACTGCGGTTTTGACCCACTGTGGAAGGTGTTGTCGTCAACACAACGTAGTAATTGCCAATAAACGTCACTACAACGGGCCGCCCGACATAAATGGACCATAGCTGTTCGTGTTCTGATACAGTGATAGGTTTCAGGTAATTTTCTCCTGCCGTATCCTTCTTCATCAGCTTGAACCACTTACAGGTCACCTCCAGGTCCTACAGGTCCATTACATCAGTTCTCATCCCTGATCAGTAGACCCTCCCCCGAAGCAAGTTGTAGGTTTCGAACCTTTCTGTATGTGCCATCTCGTGGCATTCGAAAATCAGCTTTCTTCCCAAGCAACGGAATAACATTGGGAATGCAACATCCGAATCGTGAGACCCCCGGCTCCACTTAGACTTCGTTTGCCGAAGTGGTCTCTGTGTATCCCTGGTTTTTGTTTCCCCATGTCACCAATAGCCCTCCCACCTAATAGGGTTGCTGCGGTCTTCCTCGGTGTTGTGTATTGCTAAACGGTAGTGCAACTCCGTATCGGTCCCTTGGCTTCCTGCTCCGCCCACTATGGTATACCAAAAGGCACGGTAACACTACACAGCCCTTTATGGAGAAAAAAGGAAATTATTACAACTGTATTTATAGGTTAGTCACAAAGTGTTCTACAAGGTCATGCCAGAATCTCCGTGAGAGGGCGATAAGCGTCGAGTCAAAGGTGCTTGAGTTGGATTGGCAGACATTCTGACCAATCAGTGCATGCCTTCGTTTGGCCCCTGTCCTGCACGTGACACATCCGTCCGATGGTGTGATGAACAGTTATTAGGGACGGCTGGCCTCCCTACACTTGGTATGACGTCCTATCGCACCAGCATCTCGGCGACCTGTTGAATGATGAGGCTTCTGGGGCCGACCATGATCTCTAGGCCTTCTTCGCCTCTAATATCTGGTGTCGAAAGTCATTCGACTAGGTAATTTCCATTACGCGGCGTGTTGGATTGTAGGCGGAGCGTGAAGCCTGCAAACCTTTTTTAGGGGTCTTTGTCGGTCCTGACTTGGGGGGCTAGGTCAGTATCAATCCGAAGCTTCTGCCAAAGCAGATATGGCCTCCACTCTTCAAGGGTCCTCAATGTTTCTTCCTGAACTGTACCAATACCCCAAGTACTGGCGTCTTGCAAGGGTAAACATCTCTCCTGCATTGGGCGGCATGAAGGTGGGTTGTTATCCTAGCAACTGCATCTGAACACGTCTGAAGACTTCGTGCGCGCCAATCGTCCACTCAAAATATATATTTTTACGGATTAATTTGTGCTGTAAATGGCTGTGGTGAACTTACTAACTGGAGAGTCTGTGGTCGGCATTTCGACTGCTCCTGTGTAGGCTCGGGCAACCTGGCAATATCTTCGACCTCGTGCTTACTTCGGGTGAAATGGCAGCCGGACACCGAAAAGGTGTTACACTTCAATTCATCAGCTATGAACCATGTGCCATAGTCACATTGGTTCCAGCTGCTACAGTTCCGATCGGGAAAGTGGAACATACAACCAAGCCTTGGGAGCGAAGGCATGTTCCGTTTGTCCAGAAATTGGGTAGCTATCGCAGTGAAGGTGATAGCTTGGATGCATGAGCGCCACTGACTGCGCGATTGGGCCATCACTGCCAATGTCACCAACTACTGAGGATTTGAGTTCCGAGGTCCCCATTCAGGAAGGCGGCAGTTACCCACTCGACTAAACTTACTGGTTAGCGTTTTCGTACCTCGTTGACAGGTCATACACTGTCCACCTCTCGGTCGCTTTCACTCAGCACAGGGCTTGGAGAAAGGAGATCTTTGAGGCAGACGGTCTTCTGGCATGCAAAATATATGTCCTAACCAGCGTAACCAATGAAGCATGAGTAGTTCATTTATCGCGGGAGGGTTCCTTCTTTCTAAGGCCACCTGGCGTACCTCAGCATTCCACCAGACTGACCAATGCTGCGGAGACGACGATGATCAAAAACTGACATATTCCGTATGTCCTCTGTGCGTAGGAGCCACTTCTCTTATCCATAAAACAGTATGAATCGCACCACAACAGTTAAACTCTTCCCCTGACACACAAGCTCACGTCATGTCGGCACCGTAAGTGTCGGAGGTTGGCAGAAGCTGCACTACATTTGGGAAGGATTTGAACCAATATCGTCTGCATACTTGACGTCTGTGAGGGAACGTCCCGGGAACATTTCGACTCCCGATGTTTCACAGGCGGTCAGAGCAATTTCAAGCAGCATATCAATAACAAAGTTAAAGAGGAAAGGGGAAAGAACACAGCCTTGTATTACATCACTGGACGTGGTGAACTCAGACGAGAGCTCCCGTATACTCGCACGCACGCACAGGAGTTCGCATACAGTGTCCTCATAAGGGAGAGAAATTTGAGACACCTTTGCTCGCCAGACACTGCCAAAGTTACTGACGATCGACAGAATCAAAGGCAGCTTTTAAATCCAGAAGAACGACCAACGTGGGAGTGGTGTCTGAAAGAGTGGCGCTGTTTAAGAATATTTCTCAAGATAAAAATGTGGTCGATGCACTCTCGACCAGGGCGAAACTCAGCTTGATCCTCTTGAATCTGTCTCCCCCGATAGTCCATCAATCTGCGCAAAATAATGCTACGGGGCAATTTAAGTGCGACGGACACCAGGGTGATACCACAATGGTTTTCACATGACTTTCTTGCTCATCATTTACAGCATCAAACTGCGTTAACCTTAATTGAGCAAGACAACTGCACAGCGCAAAGGCGACTGTTTAGTGAGATTCAGTCCAGTACGGTACTCTCAGCATTGAGGCTGAGAGAAACTCCCACACCGTAGATACCACGAGCCATTGCGTCAGGATCACCGGATCCCCGAAGAGTGAAATGCGGAACATATGGGCTCGTCCTAAGCGGCTTGAGGAGCATGACGGAAGTGGGGTCTTGTATGTGTGTTTCAGAGACACAACATACATCGATAGGGAGGGAAAGTAAGGCTTCAGCAAGGGATGATTGTTGCCCAATTTGACGTAGAGTACGCACATTGAAGGCTGCAACGTGGATCAGATCTTTTGAGGTTACTAGGTCGTTATTTTTATTTACTTTTCTGGGCAAAGATTGAGACACAGAACAGTGGTTAGGGGATTGGCAGATGGGTTCATTGCACTGCACTGTACGATGGGTTGGGGGGATGAGGAGGAAGGCCATTGAACGAAGAGCTGCAAGGGCAAATATACTTTCCGGTTGCCCAGGCCGAAGAAGGGGATTTAGTTGAAGTACCCCACTTAGAGCCTTTGACTCAAAAGCCTGACATACAAGACAGTGGGAGGATGTAGGGTTATGTTCGAGGGACCTGCCCCTAGCCTCTGACTCAAAAGTCCGGACCACGGGAAAGCGGTTGTTGGGGGTTTTCTTGGTGACCATTCCCGCAGTCAATAGTATGACCTGCTTGGCTGTAGGGAGCCAGTCTGGCCCGAGGACACAAGGAGAAGGGCATTACTGTCTCACTCCTGATGCGCCTGCGCACACCAGGTACCCTTTGAACAGCACCCGGCTCTTTGGTTTTAAAAGTATCTCGACCGTATTTACTAATGCGCCGGCGGTCACGGTCAACCGTTGGGCGATCGGATTGTGCGATTTTTTGAGGCCAACCTTTTCTAACCCATACTTCCTCGGCGGAAGGCAGTGTCGCTGCTTCCATAAATAGGGACATGCTGGTCGCCTGGGGGAAACGCTTTACTGCCTTCACACTTCTACCGCAGAGAACAGCACGATTTTACCTCCAGACGGCTCCGTAATACGATTACTCGCAATACGGAGACTCGCTGCTATTCGTCGGACTGCTCTCAGTTGGCCTTCCTGGCATGGCTGGATCACTAGGAACTGAGTTACAAACAGTACAGCCGGTAGGATCATTGCAGAACAGAAGCCTGACCACCACGACAAGGTGACAGCTTTAGGTCGGGGAAAAGGTGTTACAGATTAATGATTTTTATTATTTTGATCCCTTCCGTACACGAATCACCCGGCGCCGAAAAAGAAACGGTACTCTGACAGGTCACGGGACATTCACCAGAATTTATGCCCAATCGTAGACGACTGAAAAGAGCCGCTCACGTGTTTCGGATCAATTCACTGAAAGGCAAGAAACCCACACAAAATAGGTGCTCCCAACCTGCCTTCCTATGTCGGATCATCAAGGAATAGTTGTTAGCTTCCCTGGTCATGTCACTCTGAGCAGCGCTCGCACATCCAGTATATTGAGCGGTATTTGACGGGAGCCATAAAGTCTATAACAGTCGGAAGGCAAGGGAATTTCGTACGCAATCCATGGTCTTTACCTGCGTATGTTTTTGCGTAGTCCCTGACCAAAACCTTACAAACGGTAACAGAAGCCTGACCACCACGGAGATAGCATTAAAATTAAAAAAAATTCAGTACCATAACAGAATGAAGTGTCATAGACGGGATAGACCCAGCGTTCTTTGCGAAACACAGGCGACGTAAGCCTAGCGAACAACGACCAGAGAACTTTAACTAGAGGCTTTGGCCTGAAAGCGACAGTATGCGCAGCACTAGAATCCGCTTCATTCAATATCCTGTGGGATTTCCAACCGTCTGCAGGCAGGATAACATGGGTCTCAGCCAGGTCTCAAAAGGTCCTACAACACTCACTTACAGCAGTTACTTTCATTTCACGTTCGCATGTCACGTCATGTCCTCCACGAACCACCCTTCAGCAATCGCACCATCATCATCACCAAAGACAGCGACACCAGTGTTGATACTGATGCTCCACTGCCGTACAAACATAATGTTTGACTTATTATACTTCAAGTTCTGGAGTGAAGAGAAGAAGAGTGGGCGAGGGATGGGCTGGCTCATGTCAAGCATTCTGAGGTGCCCACACCTACAAGCGCCCAATCAATCTGGAAGAAAATTTGACAGCACGAACGCCACTGACATCGATTATCCGCCATTTCTTACAATGTCTCCGTCCAAGAACAGGCAAGGTCACGGAGACCACATCCTGAAAGCCGTACAACATGAACAACGCCCGAACTCTCCGTGATCTCTTTCACGCCCCTCTGCCAAGTAATACGTTGTCCACCCCACGATTTGCACCATTCTAAAGGAGGCATGGAGAAGAACACTCGTCTCGTTAGGTGCTACTTGGGTCTGTGTAGTAGATGGCCGAACCATTGTAATCGGAGATGCTGGATATTTTACCCGATTGAAGTGCCTACAACACAGCCAAATACCCATTTTCTACTCACATCGTTAGTAACAAGCTGAAGCCATCTGAAACCAGCAACGCTTGGGACATTAGTGGTCAAAAACCTGAAGACGCCTCACATCGTCTGTCCGCAGAGGACAATTTTCCCACTCATATAACATAGCCCTTACTGTAGCCTGGTAAACGCGACCCCTAAGTTCTAGTGACGGGCCTTTCTGACACCACAAGTGACAGGAATTAGCAAATACGATTCGACCTTTGAGATTCTTGTGCCGACTTCATCAGACATATTTCCGTCAGGGCTACTACAAATAACGAAATATATTAAGTTTTCCACAATCTCTAGTGATTCTTCTTGAATTGTAAGGGATATATTCAGAGGCTGCACGTTCTGAAGCATGACTTTGCGCTTTGAAGTTGCAAGGCGAATGCCAAAAAATTGTATGATGGTGGTCAGTCTATTCACTATGGCACGTGCTTCACTTCGGTCTTCAAAGATAGATAAGGCTCCCACCAGCAACAATCTGAATACCAGTGTTTTTAAGACCTTCTAGAGTTCGTCTCATTAATTCATCAATGATAAAGTTGAACAATCGCATAGACCAGAAAACAAATCTTAATTCGGTAGTTGGTGGTTGGGTATACACACTACTTGCCGCTAGAAGCCCTAAGCTGGTACGTTTAAGTCTCTGCTCTAACGAATCGGGTTCGTTACTAAATGTTCGCTTGTAGACCGCTTATTTGCGTACTCCTTGCAGCCAATTAACTCAGGCTGCTCATGCCCCATGAGAGACCAGACTCCTAAATTGTTGGTGAAGATATTATGTGAAGGACCAAAAAATGTGAGCCAACGAGTTATTATTCTGTCTATTAACGTCTAATTCGGGTAGCAAACTCACCAACTTCTGACATTTCATAAGTTGCGCCCCATAGGGCGAAAACCGTATCGGGCGCGGTCAGTTCAGTTCATAGATCGGGACAATAGATACCGCCGAGATGATAATATAAGTGAGTGAAAATTCACTGGCCCTTTGATCCCGTTCATTAGATGACATTTATGGATTCGTACAGCGACAGCCCTCTCCAAAATCACTCCTGTACCTTTTGGTGATTCAGGGAGCTCAATATTCGCACACTGGAATCGAATTTTCGATAGCTATGACGTATCCCTGATGGACTAAACGAGAAAGGTAATTGAGTTCGGAGTGCCAGTCCATTTAAGGAATCTCACAATCTCAATGATGCTTGAAAATTATTCCACTAGACTTTCCGTCTGAGGTATGATTGCTTCAGTGGACAATGAAATTTGGTGAGCTGCAAAAATATGAATGTAGATTGTAATGGTTTCTGGTTTGAGCACACACGCAACAGAATGCAACATTTTTGCGCAAAAGGTTTTGGCAGATAAGAGCATGGTGCGGCTAATGGGCCCCGAAGCCGACCATTTCCCCATACAATCCCATGATCAACTCCCTAAAAGCTACGATTTCACGGTCTGTTGCCCATAATTGATTTTGAGGTTCCCAAGTTTTCCTCGGTGGAGCTCCATTGCATCGTGTCTAGTGGACATTTTGCATTGAAGCTGAATAAGGATTCACTGACTCACTGATTATCACACAGGATAGAGGCTTCCGATCAAGCTTCCCGGGCTGGTTTTGTTCTTGTAGTTCAGCGGCTGTCGTCCACTTATCCGTAGAACGGTGAATGTATTTGGGCCGATTTCTCATGGTTCAGAGAGGCCATGTTCGAATAGAGCCAGATAACCGAATCCATTTTAGTGTCTATCCTCATGATGTCTTTTGGCCATATCTCGCCATTCGTGACAAAGGAGTTCGCTGAGTCTCTTCCGAACGACATTTGGACGCACTATTCTTCATTCAGAGGAAGGTGCCAGTCCAACGACAACGGCTTTGCAGCGTCTAACTCCACTAGGAGGGCACAGGTGCTGAAACTCCAAAATTTCAAGTCGTCCACAAAAAGTAGATATAGACCTTCAAGAATATCTGGGAGGTCGTTAACGGCTATCAGAAACAGCAGTGGTCCCAAAACAGAGCCTTGGAAGACTCCAATGGATGCCGGCGCTGGAGAGGAGTGAGCCGAAGTTTCCTTCACTTGGAATGACCTGTCTGATGCGAATGCCTTTAAACAGCGTAGGATTTTTCAATGAATCTCGCAATACTCGAATCTGAGGAGCAGTGGAAGGTGTGGAACATGATCGTGTAATTTTGATAAGTAGAAGAATGGGGCATCTGATGCGATTCCCTCGTCCTTAGCTTGGGTTAAGCTGTCCACGAATACGAGCACTTCGATCACGCAGGAATGGTCTGGGAACAATCCATGTTAACCTGGAGGTATAACGTTGACCTTGGATGTCTCAGTTCAGAATATGTTCCATCAGCTGGCACGGCAAACTTGCGAGGCATATAGGCCTGTAATGGTCGGTCTCAAGTTTTGTGGGTTGGGGTGGCAGTCGCTTCTAAGCGATGCACATTATCGTGGCAGCCGGATCATGGCTAGACAAAGAGGGTGACACAAGTAGAGTCAGGCCAACGCAGAGTCATGGGTAACTTTGTTTCAGTCGGAGAAACATGTAGACCAGAAACCAGCCAGACCGAATAAGTGACCGCCAAAAGGGATGTTTGAAGCAACTAAAGTCCAAGTTCTAAGCTCTTCTGAGCTCTTCCGTACCCAAAAATTTTCGCTCAGATTTGGCTAGCCTGGCTTTCCTGCTGCAATTTCGACTTGCCTGTTGCACAAGTTCAAATCCCTATACAGAGTTCAGGTCGCCCTATTTATTAGCAAATTGCCCCCATCCAACCTATCCCCCTGCACCTGACATCCCTACAACAGTGCAACCAGTGAGTCTGTTTATCTTGAGATTAAACCACATTTTTGAGACAAAACTTGCCATGTGCTCCCAACTTGAATTATCCCATCTCCATCTCCACTGTTGCTTGTTGTGACTCCGGCCATTTACCTAACCACCCAAGGTCACTCATGGCCAGCAATGGTCTTCAGTTTTAGTTCATACCGCCTGACTGTCTTTGATCCAATCGAACCTCAAGCCCATTTTTCCCAACAAGTTGAGAAATAACCTATTATTGCTATATCATCGGGTATTTCCCACTGTTTGTGGCACCGTCCTCTTTTTGTGCAATCCGCACCCCCACAAATCCCTCAGTCATGCCCCATTCTGACTGTAAAACTGTGATCATGCCAGACGGTATGCCACCCACAAGTTGGGAATAGACATTGTTATTATTAAATGAGTCGCCAGTGTAAACGACGTTTCATTCAGGATCCTTGGGTAGACTTCTTCCGGCCCCAACTTGCGCAACGAGTTTATCTTGCGCAAGAGTTGACGAATGTCGTCCACGATGAAGATCAAGTCAGTTAGAGGCTTGATGTGACGAGGCCACTGGGGCTGCATACAGACCCGCATAATGTCCGTTATAAACCTCAGGTACCATTATTGGACACTCGTGGGTTCCTCGTGCCTTTGCCTCAAGAAGAACGCTGGTAGCTTGTTTCTGCGGCGATGTCTCATGTACCAGAACGGCACATTTCCGTTTTACGGGCAAGATCAAGCTTGGCGGCGCCTCCGTAAAAAGCCCACTTGATCCGACGTGCTGCAGCTCATCCGGTAGACCTTCACCTACAGCAGACGAGTGAAACGGCGGCTGGACGGAGGTTGCTGAATGGTTCGTATGAAGAATTGGTCATTTTCGGGGTGACTCGACTGGCTACGGCAGGTCACGCAGTGTGGGAAAGAATTGGAATCACACAGCGGGATTTGAATCCACAATGCATCACAAGAAACTGGAGGAGTGGTATCAGAGAAGACAATCTATATGGGCAGGGCCGCGTATGAGTACAGACAAACACATCAGACCTCCCTCGTTTTGAGTCGGCTCAAAAAACCGTCTCCGCATCACAGACCTTTGGTGTGAGAAAGGTCTCTCTGAGTGCGACTATGGACGGCTGTTTAAGACAGGCTGACGGTCCATTATAGCCACGTTTGTTCAGAAGGCTGAGGCAGTTTGTGAACAGGCGTTTCAGCACTTTCTCTGCTGCCTCCGAAGGTGAGTTGAGAGTTATGCAACCAAAGGGGTGAGCGGACTTAATAGCTGTAGGCCTAGTCTGAGTCCAAGGCTCCGAAGGGGTGTACTTGGGGCGTACCTCTCTGCTGAAGCATATCTATCGATCAACAGGGCACTTGGACTAAAAATGTCGCCACGCCCATCAAGGACCTTGCAGGTCAGCTAAAATCCCTGCTGGATCTGGTTATGACCAACGAAAGACACTTCGTTGACTCAGTGTACTACGTGGTTACCTTTGATTTCATTCAACTTCTTTTGCATTCTCAAGGAAAAATCCCTCTGTTTTCTTCACTCAGCCTAACTGTTGTTCGTCAGCTTCATTTCGCTGTCTGCAGAAGAAGCTAATAGCTTAATCACACAGTCACTCAATCTTCGCAATTTTTGACAACTTCAACTCGAAACTGAAAAGTTTTATTTTAAGCCTATCCCAGTGATGCTTATTTGTCATCGCGATGTCCAGTCTTCCTTCGGCCACAGCTTTTCAGCATTCTACCCCTGTCACTTGTGTTTAATCGTCACCGATATAACGGCTCAAAGTGGGAACACCGTGCAGAAATACTCACAATGGAAGCTAGCGCGCAGTGTATGTGGAATAATCTAACCGAAATGATATGACTCCTGGAAATCACTCCTACAAGATCACTACAAGTGGGTCAAAGGACGAACCGGCATTATGTGCGACGCGGGACTCTTGCTAATCTGCCAATTCAACATATGAGTGCAGGTCATAATGTTAAGCATCTCCCAAAAAATGCGTAAGCTCGTATTTTTGCACGAGCCACCTTCGAGAGTGGAACTATGGGGCCCACCAGTAACCCATAAATGGTCTGTGAAGCCTATAAAAAATGAAGTTTTGCTTTGTAACCCACCGCCTCATATCCAACTCTGGAGGTATGGTACTGCGAGAAGCTTCGCAGAAGAGGCTATTCGTGAGCCCCTGTTTGGCGTGTCGTGCTCCGATGGGGCCTATAAAATGATCCTGCGGGAAACATATTTTTACTCGGCAAAACACTTGACATGGTGCTTCGTTAGTAGCTCGGTGAGAGCCACCTCTCCTCTGCTTGAAGTGGAGCGTCTGTTTCTTTGATCCACAGATAGGTTGAATGCTTATCCCTCATAAGCTGCAAATCTAAAAGCCCAAGATGAATGCCATGCAAAACGATGAAAAGCGCTTCGAAGTGAAACGTTTTACTCACTACAAACAACTTGATGTTCAAGGCACAGCAAATATTATTCTCAAACCGATCTTAATTGATGAACATGTCGTATTTGTGTACAACTTGACACAAACTGAAGACGGAACGCTCATTTTGGACGGCACACATTTAGCCCCGTCGAATGCATTTGGTCAAGGTCCACAAGTTTCAGCGCTCCACAAAATCGAGTCATACGTGACTCACGGAGAAATTCGATGCAAGAAAATGGTTTCAGTTTTTCCGCACCTACCAGTAACTGATCATGGGGCTGTTTCTTATCTCATAGCCAAGGGAGATTCCAGGCTCTACGAGCAGAACAATGGCTGCCTGTTCAGTGACCAGCTCCATGTTGAATTAAGGCTCTTCTTTTGGATGGAACACCCATACTGAACGTCGGATAAACTTTTTCTCTTCCTGCGCCGGTCCCTACTTAGATTCCTCAGGTATGATAATACGTTTCTTTCTAAATTTCTAAGGAACATGCACTCATACGTCTAATCTAAGTCAATGGTCTTCCATATGCGCTTTCAAGTCCATGTATACTTTTTTCCAAACAGTCTGGAATCTTAGAGCATCGACGCAAGTACCGAATAATGGTATGTGGATGCAGTCAGGCAGTGTTTTTGGAAATAGCTATTTCCTC